TCCAGAACTGAAAGCTGGCAATAATGCAAGAAACATCTGCAGGGAGTGCAGATCCCCTATCCAGGGATTTCCTTCCCCAAAATTATGTATGTTATGAAACATAGCTCTACTCTGCGTGAATCATCCCCAGTTGCATCTACCATGGCTGCTCAGAAGACGACATAGTAACATTCAACAGATAACAGGCTCAACATCTCAACATCTGGAAATGCAGACAGCAAATGTGATGAGCAAACCTGCCAGCCACAACTCTGAGCAATCACAGAATCACAGAATCACCATGGTTGAAAGGGACCTCTGAGATCATCGAGTCCAACCTTAAAAAAAAAAAGAAAAAAAACAAAACAAAAAAACCCCAAACAACAACAAGAAAACCCACAAAACATAACACCCCACCACATCACACCCACCCACAAACCAATAACCTTGGGCACTACAGCATGGCCTGAAGTGCCACGTCTACATGTTTCTTAAATACCTCCAGGGATGGTGACTCCACCACCTCCCTGGGAAGGCTGTTCCAGTGCCTGACCACCCTCTCAGTAAAGTAATTCTTCCCAATATCTAATCTAAACCTCCCCTGCTGCAACTTCAGACCATTTCCTCTGGTCCTGTCATTATTCACTCGGGAGAAGAGGCCAACACCCACGTCTCTACAACCTCCTTTCAGGAAGTTGTAGAGGACAATGAGGTCTCCCCTCAGCCTCCTCCAAACTAAACATGCCCAGTTCCCTCAGCCTCTCCTCATATGACTTGTTCTCTAGACCCGTCACCAGCTTGGTGGCTCTCCTCTGGACACACTCCAGAAGCTCAATGTCCTTCCTGTAGTGAGAGGCCCAGATCTGAACACAGTACTTGAGGTGAGGCCTCACCAGTGCTGAGTACAGAGGCATGATGACTTCCCTACTCCTGCTGGCCACGCTGTTCCTGATACAGGCCAGGATGCCATTGGTCTTCCTGGCCACCTGGACACACTGCTGGCTCATGTTAAGCTGGCTGTCCACCAACAGTACTAGGTCTTTTTCTGCTGGGCACCTTTCCAGCCACTCTTCCCCAAGCCTGTAGCATTGCCTGGGGTTGTTGTGACCAAAATGCAGGACCTGACACTTGGTCTTATTGAACCTCATCCCATTGGCCTTGGCCCATTGATCCAGCTTGTCCAGGTTCCTCTGTAGAGCTTTCCGACCCTCAAGCAGATCAACACTCCCACCTAGTTTGGTGTCATCTGCAAACTTACTGAGGGTGCACTCAATCCCCTTATCTAGATCATCAATAAAGCTATTAAACAAGACTGGCCCCAAAACTGAGCCCTGAGGGACACCACTGGTGACAGGTTGCCAACCGGATTTCGCGCCATTAATCACAACTCACTGGGCACGGCCATCCAGACAGTTTTTTACCCAGTGAAGAGTACATTTGTCTATGCCATGATTCGCCAGCTTCTCCAGGAGAACACCGTGGGGGACGGTGTCAAAGGCCTTACCAAAGTCCAGGTAGACAACGTCCATAACCTTCCCCTCATTGAGAAAGAGGGTCACATGATCATAGAAAGAGATCAAGTTGGTTAAGCAAGATCAAGTTGGTTAAGCAACTTTTATTTTTATAATAAATAATATTATTTCTATAATGAATAATATATATAAAGTTATTATATAACTTTTATTTATCACGGTTTCAGCTGTGATGGAATTAACTTTCTTGCTAGCAGCTGGTGTAGTGCTGTGTTTTGGATTTGGGATAAGAAATAGTGTTGATAGCACACTGGTGGGTTTGGTTGTTGCTAAGCAGCCAAGGCCTTTTCTGCTCCTCACACCAGCCTGACAATGAAAAGGCTGGGGGTGCACAAAACATTGGGAGGAGACACAGCTGGGACAGCTGACCCCAGCTGACCAAAGGGATATTCCACACCATGTGAGAACTTGCTAAGTACATAAAGCTGGGGGAAAAAGAAGGAAGGGTGGGACATTTGGAGTTAAAGCATCTGTCTTCCCAAGTAACCATTATGCATGATGGAACCCTGCTTTCCTGGAGATTGCTGAACACCTGCTGACAATGGAAAGCAGTGAATTAATTCCTTGATGTGCTTTGCTTGCATGTGCAGCTTTTGCTCTACCTATTAAACTGTCGTTATCTCAACCCATGAGGCTTTTTTCTCACTTTTACTCCTCCAGATCCCATTGGCCTTGGCCCATTGATCCAGCTTGTCCAGGTTCCTCTGTAGAGCTTTCCGACCCTCAAGCAGATCAACACTCCCACCTAGTTTGGTGTCATCTGCAAACTTACTGAGGGTGCACTCAATCCCCTTATCTAGATCATCAATAAAGCTATTAAACAAGACTGGCCCCAAAACTGAGCCCTGAGGGACACCACTGGTGACAGGTTGCCAACCGGATTTCGCGCCATTAATCACAACTCACTGGGCACGGCCATCCAGACAGTTTTTTACCCAGTGAAGAGTACATTTGTCTATGCCATGATTCGCCAGCTTCTCCAGGAGAACACCGTGGGGGACGGTGTCAAAGGCCTTACCAAAGTCCAGGTAGACAACGTCCATAACCTTCCCCTCATTGAGAAAGAGGGTCACATGATCATAGAAAGAGATCAAGTTGGTTAAGCAAGATCAAGTTGGTTAAGCAACTTTTATTTTTATAATAAATAATATTATTTCTATAATGAATAATATATATAAAGTTATTATATAACTTTTATTTATCACGGTTTCAGCTGTGATGGAATTAACTTTCTTGCTAGCAGCTGGTGTAGTGCTGTGTTTTGGATTTGGGATAAGAAATAGTGTTGATAGCACACTGGTGGGTTTGGTTGTTGCTAAGCAGCCAAGGCCTTTTCTGCTCCTCACACCAGCCTGACAATGAAAAGGCTGGGGGTGCACAAAACATTGGGAGGAGACACAGCTGGGACAGCTGACCCCAGCTGACCAAAGGGATATTCCACACCATGTGAGAACTTGCTAAGTACATAAAGCTGGGGGAAAAAGAAGGAAGGGTGGGACATTTGGAGTTAAAGCATCTGTCTTCCCAAGTAACCATTATGCATGATGGAACCCTGCTTTCCTGGAGATTGCTGAACACCTGCTGACAATGGAAAGCAGTGAATTAATTCCTTGATGTGCTTTGCTTGCATGTGCAGCTTTTGCTCTACCTATTAAACTGTCGTTATCTCAACCCATGAGGCTTTTTTCTCACTTTTACTCCTCCAGTTCTCTCCCCTATCCAAAGTCGGGGGATGAGCAAGTGGCTGCATGGTTCTTGTTTCTGGCTGGGGTTAAATCACGGCAGCATTCAAGCCCTACGTGAGGTGATATGGGTGGTGGACCAAGGTCCAAAGCTTTATTCCTCAGCTTCAGAAATAAAGGCTCAGATTTTTCTCCTGTGAGCAGGAATGTGACTTGAGTGACCAGGCTTTGGCCACTGCAGCTTTATCCTTTCAGCTGCAAAATCAAAAGGAGGGGAAGGGGTGGTGGAAATCTGGCCAGTTTTTCTGAAAGGTGAAAAGGGAATTTGGGACAAAGGAAGCTATTTAATTTCTTTGGCCTCCTTAAGCTGTTGACTCATGGATGAACAGATGTAACTACGCAACATCAGCTGCATGTAATTAAATATATTGCTTTGCAGATGTCCAGAACGATTCCTGTATATACACAGCACAACTGTGTGAGAGGCACAGGACTGAATACCCATGCGAGGACAGTCGTATCGCCTGGCAGGTCACGGTCAGTGCTGGCCAGAAAGCTGAAGTGCCTCAAACAATACTGAACCCTCTCAGGGAATCTGCACTTGCACTTCATTTACACTGTCTTTTAAATAGGCTGTCATTTAAACTGGCTCAGATATGATGCAGGAAATCAAAACATTAGGCCGGGGATGGTGTCACTATTGAAACAACATCTGACTCCTCCTTAACTGAGATTACACTTGGTTATTTTGGATGGATTTTATTTCCGTTCCTATCAGCTAGAGAGGCAGCAGGTCATTTCTATCTTGCACATCCCAAAGGACAAAGAGAAGCATCGACAGCCCTAAGACAGGGGGGAAAGTCAGATGCCTGCTCTTCTGTCAGCACAACCTGCTGTCGAAGCATAGAGGAGCACGCACCTCGGAAGGAGATACTGAGCAGCAAAATGCGCTCCCCTTTCTCCAGACACTCTTAGGAGGTAAAGCAAAACATAAGCTATGGTAGCTAGATGCGTGTTGAGGAAGGCAATATAGTGTGTAGTTTTGGACTGAAAAATTGCCTTTGTCTAGAAATACCAGCGGTTCCCTGAATGTCAGGGGAGCATATCTATGAAGCTAGAACATTTGCTATCGCTTAGGGGTATCAGTCACTTAAAGGCTTAATTTGCTATTCTCATGTCTCCTTCAGGCTCAAAAGTTTACTGTTGCTTTAACTTTCCATGCACACAGCTATTCTTAGATTTTGTCTCCTGGAAAATTGAGGAAACATATCAAAATACTTTTTAAGGAGTAGGTGGTCCCTTGAGCGTCCTAGAAACGTTGCTAGTAATTTAACTGTCAGGAGCTTCATTTTTCAGAATAAATATGGTGTCTTTTTTTTACTACATTTTTTACTATGATACCTCCACAGTGAAGAACCTTGGTCTTCATCTCTGTGAGAAGAGGCATGCAGGGATACCAAATGGAGAAATGACAGTAAAATGGGAATGTGGCATGCTATGCAAGTGTTCTTAAAGCTGCATGTGAGGATCCCTAACAAGGATGGTCTTGAATCCTTTTGGAAGTAAATCATAATTTAAAAAAAAATCTATTACTTTATCTGCACCCCAGACTTTGACTGATGTTCCCCGTTTGCTGGTGAAGTGAAGAAGGCAGCAGGATTGCTGTCACACCTCCACAGACATTTTTTTCTTGTGAAATGATGGCCCACTTACAGAAACTCAGTATCTGTTTCTTGGTCTTTCTCCCCCACACTCTGAGGAGATTCCTTGTTAGCTGTGCAATCAATAAAAAACATATCTTCAGCAACTAGTAAATCTGGTTTATTAAAACACAGGTTTGACAGTTAATTCAATTGCTAGCAAAGTTGTAGCATGGTCAATAAAAAAAAAAAAAGTGACCTCATAAGTGAGATACATATATCCTCTAGGTGCAAAATTACCTGATAATAGGGTGCATTTGGATGGATGCAGACAAAAACATGTGAGTGAGATTAGAATATGGCTAATTTTCTTTTCATTCCTTTGTAGTATTTCAGGTGTACAGTACCTTGTCAGAGGCTCCAAGATTATCATTTGTCCCTGCTGAGGTCTATTCATGACAGGGAAAAACTGCAAGTTTTCCCCCTTCCTTCCAATTATTTGTCCACCATCCCTCTGCACAGGCTGTCATGTCGATCCCATTCCATTGCAAATGAGTGGTAATATTCCTTTATCCTTCAGTAACATGGGACCAAGCACTGTAGGAGTTCACATGAAATCATTAGGTCAGCTCTCAGGTATGCCACTGAGTTACTGAAATAAGGATTCGGAGCATGAACTTTTGTGAAGACTTATGATAAAACTCTGTGCTTACATAAAAAGCAGCATAAAGTGACCAAAATAGATTGACTCCACAATTGAACATAACCCTTAGATAGTCAAGAAAAATGTGATTTCTCCAGTGATTTGCCAAGCACTTTTCCACCTGACCAGCAATGTTTTGTTTTCTGCGTATTTCAGACAGAGCTGAGAATATCTAGCTGCAGTTATTTTTGTTTAAGTGCAATAACATTCTCCAAAAAAGTTCAGAGCATTGAGAAAGTATCTTCACTGACAGAAACATTCCTTTGGGTGGATTTCACAGGGAGGGAAGGTTTTCAGTATTTTTGCTAGTTTTCACATGAGACAGGCTGCTGTCCTGGAAAATATGACAAAACTTCTTGGGGTTTTTTTTTTTTTTTTAAATGAGGTAATTAAAACCAAAATCTCAATGTGGTCAAACTGAGTTTGGAGTCTGTTTTCACTTAATTGCAAGTGATCTGATTTCTAAGAAATATATTTTGGAAAATATTCAGGGAACTTAAATATGCAGGCAGCCATCTGGTGAGATTTTCCAAAGAACACATAGGTGTAGTTTTCTATTGCTTTCTGAAACTGCCCTCCTCCTCCTCCTCCTCCACTACACGTCTTTCCTCCTGTTCCTGGTTTAGTGCTTCCTTATGTTTGGTATCAGGGAGTTCAAAACAACTGGAAGTTAATCCTATGAAAAAAGGGACTAGCTTCCTCCTCGCAGCAGACAGGAGGTGTGGGATTAGGGATGCCTTTGGCAGCAGGTTGCTGTCAGACTGGTTTACCACTCCCTTAGCTCCCCACTTGGAGGAAATAATTTAAAGGTTTGCCTCTGGATCCCTGCATGGGAACTGAGCTTCCTAACCTCGGCTGTCAGAACTGACCACAAAAACAAGTGCTGCAATGACCTCGAAGGAATGGGCGCACACGTGAAGACGTGCAGGATGCTACGTGCGCCCGCATCCTGCTCTCGCTGCCCGCAGTCATCTTAACTCATAGTGCTCCATCCTGGCGCCGGTAACTGGAAATCATTATCTCACTTGGCAATCAGAGAAATGTTAAGCAGAACACAGAATCACAGAATCGTCATGGTTGGAAAGGACCTCTGAGATCACCGAGCCCAACCATCAACACCTCGGTGGCCTCCTCAGAATGGAAAATCTAGAAATGCTAATGCCCTCTGAACAGCCTGAGCCTGTGCTGGCTCCCGTTTGGCTCTCTGTCTGCTTTGTAAGTCAGCCTCAGCAGAAAGTATCAGTGATACTTTACATTTCTGTGATGTGCAGACCTCTGGCCCGTGTTTGCAAAGGGAACTAACAGGGCACTATGAAGCTGTTGGGTATCACAGCATCTGAACCCCACACCTCTGCACACACAGCGAAATGGAGCACAGAGAGGTTCAGACCCAGACGCTGAGGTGATCAGGGGAAGAGTTGACCTTCAAGCCACTCATTGAGTATTGTGAAGTGAAATAAATGGACTCTAATAGCAAGGTAAATCCCTTTCAACCCCTTGTCCTGGGGAGAATGAACACTAGAGGTGTATCTACGCTGCTAAATAGAAGAGGACCAGGGATCACACCCAGACACCTGACCTCTGATCTTTCTGCCTCAGTTTTGGGCATCCCCAATGAGCGCTTTCCAAGACATTTTTGCTTGAGAGATGCCTGGCACTGAGCAGCATGGCTGCGGGCTGGCTAGCACCACACAGCCTCTGCCATTGAACAGTATGGACCCAGTCTAGATACCACACCAGGACCATATATAAATATTTTGCATATTTTTTGTACTTTGCAATTCTGCGTCAGCTATCTGCGGTACAAACTTCTGATTCTGGCTTTGAAATTTTCAGCAGCGAAGTAATAGAGGATGGGATCGAGGCAGCTGTTCATGGCAGCAAGGCAGAGAGTGACCACCAGCGCCTTGTGCAGAGGGAGGTTGGCCGGGCTGCAACCGCTTCTCGTCAGGTGGACTGTTCGCAGTATGTGGTACGGCAGGAAACAGAGGAGGAAGAGGATGAGAGTGATGATGATGGTTGACAGTGCCTTCTTGTGACAAACCGCCTTCTTGCACTGTGGATTCTTGGACTTGAGCAACGCTCTTATGGCAAAGATGTAGCAGACGATAATTGTGCAAAATGGCAGAATGAAGCCCACAAGGAGGACAAAGCTGTTCATTATCAGGAGCCTGTGCGTGTTGGAGGGGTGGAGATCCAAGCACTTGTCTGGGTATTTGTATCCAGCAACTTCCTTGCATAGCAGAGGGCTGGAGGCTACCAGGACAAAAACCCATATGGCTGCACATATTATCTTGGCATACTTCATGTTGGTTACTTTCCAGCGCTTGAATGGGTAGACAATAGCTATGAAACGAACCACGCTGAGCACGGTGAGAAAATAAATGCTGCAGTACATGTTCACGTACAAGATGTAAGTCATGATCCTGCAGAGGACATCACCAAATACCCAGCGTGATCCCAACAGGAAGTAGGTGGCCCGAAAGGGCAAAGTACTCACAAACATGAGATCTGAAACAGCCAAATTCTGCATGTAAATGTTTACTGAGGTCTTCCTCTGTGAAGGCTGGAAGAAAACATAAATGGAGAGGCTATTTCCAACAGCACCCAGGCAGAAGATAAGGAGGTACATGATGGGATAAATGACTTGCTTGAAGCCGTCAATCGTACAATTGAAGGAGTTGTTAGTGAAGTTGGCACCTAGCACCATCTTGGAAATATTCATGGTCTGCAGCCAGATTCTCCGTCTTTCTGCCAAAGTAAAAAGAATTGGTGTGAGGGCTAGGTTACAGGCCAGGCAGGGAGTTCAGCTATTCAAGACTATTTCGCTGAGGGCAGAAATCGCAAGATGCAGAGGGGAGTGGAAAGTAAAGATTCGTTAATGAGTAATTGCTTCTGATGTCCCAGGAGATACACATCTCAAGGCGTAAAGCCCCAGGATGCCTCTAATACAGCAACTGGTTGTTGTCTCAACCTGTGAAAGTGATGCCTTTTAAAGATGAGTGCTATGTGTGTGTTTTAATGGCAATTCTCTGATCTCTGTGCAAAACAAGCCAACTTGCTGTCAGACATTTTGTAGCAGGGAGGTTTCAAGTCCCCAGCTGCCTACCCTGGAAACATCAACACCTGAGCTGTCAGAAGAAATCACTGTCCACTGGTAAGTCTGTTTCAAACTAGATGAAAAGCTGAAGGAACTGAATTTGCCAACTGGAACTAGTGACATTTTTCTGGTACACTGTCTGCTGTTGGCAGTGTGCCACTGAACTTTCCTTATCAATACCAGAGTTATATTGATATACCTCAGAACCTATAAGTTAAGGATGTTTTGACCTTAATAAACATGGCATAAATAGTGTTCCTTTTTTAACTCCCTCCTCTTTACACTGTATTTCTTCTTTCGTTTAAATTTCTGATGGCTTTCTATGTCTCTTTTTGTGGGACCTTTGTTTCGTTTACCACTTTCTCAACCTTTTTTGTGCTCAACTGCTCTGCATCAGACAGTCATCTACAAGCACCGCGGCTTCCAGGGCAGCCCATGTGTGCAGCCCTAATGAAAATGGCCTGTGAGAAAATGGGCTATGTTCACAGAGAGTGACACCTTTCCTCCTATGGGGCTATAATTCAATCAGATCAAAACTACTCATCACTGAAACACTCTAAATAATAATTCTTTTCTCATTAGTTTCTATTTCCTTGCTGAACTCTCGATTTCTTCTCTCAGCTGACCTGCAGCTAGTAGTATTTTGAGAGGAAGATTTCAGTATTGTTGTTTGTTTAATAGTGTCAAGCAATTCCCTCTCTGCATCTACCAACATATTCTAGAGATGGATCATGGAAAATTTTAGCCCAAACCCCAGAACTACACGGCATTTCTAGATGTACAAAAAAGAAGCTTTTAATTTGCCCCAGTGAGAATGATAATGAGTCGATGGCACGTGACTGCATCTTATCTCTTATTATGGACCTCACTGGCTTCATGATTCGAAATTAAGTTATTTGCACAGGTGGAGCCTCCCTAGGAGGAAACATAGAATCATAGAATCGTCTAGGTTGGAAGGGACCTTAAAGATCATCTAGTCCAACCATCAACCTAACTCTGACAAAAAAATAAATAAGAAATAAGCAATAAAAAAAACCCCAAAAAACCACTAAATCATATTCTTGAGGACCATGTCAACCTGTCTTTTGAACACCTCCAGGGATGGTGCCTCAACCACTTCCCTGGGCAGCCCATTCCAATGCTGGATAACCCTTTCCGTGAAGAAATTTTTCCTAATATCCAATCTAAACCTCCCCCGGCACAACTTGAGGCCATTTCCCCTTGTCCTATCTCCTGTGACTTGGAAGAAGAGACCTACCCCTCCCTCTCTACAGCCTCCTTTCAGGTAGTTGTAGAGAGCAATAAGGTCTCCCCTCAGCCTCCTTTTCTCCAGGCTGAACAACCCCAGCTCCCTCAGCCTCTCCTCATAAGACTTACTCTCCAGACCCCTCACCAGCTTCGTTGCTCGTCTCCGGACCCACTCCAGCACCTCAATGTCTTTTTTGTGGGAAGGGGCCCAAAACTGGACACAGTACTCCAGGTGAGGCCTCACCAGTGCCGACTACAGGGGGATGATCATGTCCTGAGTCCTACTTACCATGCTGTTCCTGATACAGGCCAGGATACCATTGGCCTTCTTGGCCACCTGGGCACACTGCTGGCTCATGTTCAGCCGACAGTTGACCAACACCCCCAGGGACCAACCCCCATAGTCTCTAGAGCTGGGTGCTCTGGACTTCCAGTTACCCAGTGTGGTATTCCCAGCGTGCTGCAAATGGGAGCTAACTTGCGAACTCAAGCCATGGTGTGGGAGCCTGAGCTATGTTCACAGCAGCCCATGGTATCTTCAGGGCGGTGTCTCAGAGTCTGCCTGAATCCCTTAATATAGGAACCAGATGTGCCTCAACAGTTGTCTTTTATCTGGCCTCACTGTGACGGGGAGCGTGGGAAGCGCAACTCCCAGGCTGGGTTCCCAAGGAGCAGGATTTACCCCCCTGTTGAGACACAGGAGCGTGGTGGCTTGGGGAAGGGGGACATTTGCTCACACAGATGTCATAGCCGTCCCTGCAGTGCCTGAAATTATCCCTACAGAAAATAAAGATAATAATATCTATTGAGCTTAAGAGCGCTGAAGACTGAATGTGGGAAAACTGGATATTGGGGTTCTGCAAAACCCCAGACTCAGTAAACATGTGCTCCTAAAGTAAATCTTCTGTTTGACATCCTCTTCCCTCATGGAGGTGAGAGACACAGTACACTTCCTGACATCAAATCTTTTGCAATCTGAGGAGGTTTTGGTCTTCTGTACGAAGTGACTGTCTGACACATAAGTTTTCTGTGTGAGATCAAGAACCAGCTTTTTTCCTGATTGAAGCTGATCTCCCCATTCTGCAGAGAAACATTGCAGCCCAAGGTACAGCAAAGAGAAGAGCCCTTTTGACTGCGTTTTGCTATGGCCCAAGCATCCTTGTCTTTAGAAACCCCAAACCACAAGAAAATACCTGTGCCTGTTGAAGCATTCCTTCCACCAAACACTCTGCTGTGAAACTTGTGAGTTAGAGGAGTCAAATGAGAATTAAGAGCTTGGAGGCTAGGCAAATTCAAAGTCCTGCTGAGCACCATAAGTGATGGCTTGAAGGACAGGACAGGGGCAATGAAAATTCAGTTGATGAAAAGCCTTTGGGTTCCTGCACCTTGGGGATACCACCACAAACACAGACACAGAGGCACTTAGCTCAGGCTTTCACTGAGCTCCTCATTTCCTCTGCCAAACAACTTGCAGCTGAAAACCTTTAGGAGTTTCCTAATTATCCAAACAAAATTTTCGAGTTGTAATAGTATGTCTAAGAGAAGAAGGCTTGAGACTAGTCATCTGAAAGCTGTTAACCACCATGATGCCTGCCCTCGGTTGAAGCAGGAACAACCTGTGCAATTATCATAGGTAGATGCTCCAAATACTTGTGTTTTAACACAGAGATCAATGTAGAAGGAAAGTGCTGTGAAAGATACATTTCACACAGATATATTTGACTCAAGAAACCACAGAGGAGAAGGGGAGAATTTTGCCCCTCCTTGAAGTGAAGAGTTGTTCTTTAGCCAGCTAAGGCGAGGAGATGGCTCCTAGATAAGCAGCAAGAATAACATATCCAAGGAGAGGCAATAAACTTTGTTTTCAGCAAGAGTGTCCAGGCAGTCTCCTGAATCACAAACGAAAAGGGTTGGTTTTGGGTGAGAGACTGAACCTATAGGGTCCCCCAGAAGACTTCAGAGGGAAGATTGGCAGTAAGAGCTAACAGACATCTGAGAAAGTGACAATCTGAAATGGGAATCTCTCTTAAGTGGTACTGCAAGACTTCTCTGATGGGAACTCCCTAGCAGGAGATTTTTTTCTATATATGGGTTTTCCTGATGGAAGCTATCGGGTAGAAGCAGCTGACACACGCCCTGAAGCTCTGACAACCATGCTGGGCAGGAGAGGGAGAGCACGTCAGCTGAGCAAGAAAAAAAGTGGCTTTTCTGAAATAACTGCTGCTTAAGTAGATTAGACATAGAGATTTGGTGGATTTTTTTTCCTTTTCTTTTCTTTACCTTTGTGAAGCCTTTTAGAAACATTTACAGCTTAATTAGTATGGATTTTATGAATAAATACTTAACTTTTATTATAAATTACATATATTATAAATTATATCTATTTATTTTGAATAAATATTTTGCCTTTTATCGTAACTTGGCTTGAGTGTGATTTAAGGGAAGGGGATAACAGAAAGACATTCCTTGCCTAAGGTGCATCTAATACCCTTAACAAGTGAATGGATGGGCAAGCCAGGTGAGGAACTGAGAGAGCAAACATAAGAGGAGATTTGTTTAATCAGAGGAGATACTAAACTAATAAAAGTGCCCCAAAACTACCCGATTTCAAGCTCAGGATGCGGGTAGCAATGTAGTAGCAAAGTGGGGGCTACCCCATGAACTGCCCAGCATCCAACATGTGTGGCTGCCTCCCTGAGGCAGGTTTTGTGCCCATTGTGTGCAGAGGGCTGGGGACAGGGAGGGACAAGGCTGGCTGTCTTGAGGCAAGGGTGGCTCAGCAAGAGCAGGGCAGGAGCCAGTCTGCCCAAGAAGCAGACCTCATGAGAAGACTGTGAAGACTGCTTGGGGGTGCAGGGGAGGATCTGGTAGTGGCTGTGGTCATTGTGGGCACCAGGGGTGAAGGTGGGATCTCCAGGGCTCAGCTACAAGGCAAGAGAGAAACTCAGGTCAGACCTGGTGTTTCAGTGCATGGATGAGGCCGCAGAGAGAAGAAATTTAGGTATGTAAAGAACTGAGGGATCTTTTGGGATAAAGGCAAGTAATACGGAAATGAGAGACTGCACTGTACCCAGAGTGGATTCAGGCTGCTGGTGCTGCAGACTAATTTAATTAGAAGCAACAGGGGAGCTGACGGGCATGGGAGAGCAAGTGGGCTGGATGGATAAGACCTGCAAGGGCAGTGAACTCACATCCAGTGCACTTCTGACAAGGCCAGGAGGGAAATAAAGCCCAACTGCAATAACTAGGGAAGGCAAATCCTACTGCCCACAAACCCCATGGGCTGGCACGTGCTGTTTTGAGTGAGTGATCAAAAGCAAATCTGACGTAATTCTGCCCTGATGCTCAAAAACGAGACGGAGGAGCTGGAAGACTTGGCATGAGACAGCAACCCTGGTGCAAGGGGAACTGGAGAGACCTGCAGGAGAGAGGATAATCAACGGGAGCCTGTGTTGCCATGTTACCAGCTTTATGGTAATGATAGTGCAGGATGCACAGGCAGAGGAGTAGCACTGCACTTGAAGGACTGCGTAACTTGCAACAACATAAAAATATTATGGCCAAAGAGAAGCACGGCAGAGTCCTTGTAGGCAGACATCCCATACTCAAATAATAAAAGTATAGTACTAGGAATGCACTACCTAATTCCTTATGATGATGACAGTCATCAGAAAATGCTAAGTGTGAGTAGGAAGCTGAAAGCAGGTAGCAATAGCAGGAGATTTTGCATGCCCTTATAAAGATGTGATGCTGCAGCAGAACGAGATAAAATGCCCATATGCAACAAATACCTGATTCCTAGAATAATTAGAACTGCAAACAAATCCACAACACAACATGGTATTTTACATTTGATCTTTAGTGCTGCACAGCTTTTAGTTCAAGTAGGTTTTGGTGGAGGGAGCCCTGTACTGGCAATCACAGAAGAGCTAGGCTCACCAGTGGTGTGGGACACACAAGCAGTCCCAGAAGAAAGAAGCCTACATAATTCTGGGGCTGTTTAGAAAAGCAAACAAAAAATATAACAAAACCTGTGTTAGAAGTCTACATTCCAAAGAAATAGACATTTTAATAAATATTGAGCCCTGTGTCTACCAGTAGAACAGTTGGGAAGACTATTATAGGAAAAAGATCACCATTTAGAAAGCAGAAAGCTTGTCCAAATGGGGAGACAGAAAAATCTGTATCATGGCAGATCAAATATGGAGAGGAAACTAAGAGCATTTAAATAAATAAATAAAAAAAAGTGAAAAGCACCTGGTAAAGGATGCTCAGGCTGACAGTAGGTTTTGTAAACCCACTGAGAGATGACAGAATTGCTAAAGAATGCTAGCAGAGAATGCTACCAGAACTGCTAGAGAATTGGTAGGCTTGCTTCATAGCAAAAGATGTCTTCAGGACAATGAGGCCATAGCAGAGAAACTCAGTGAATTCACTCTTCCTTGCCAAAGATTTCAGGGTATTTTCACACCTGATGCAGCAAACAGGGTTGAGGAGCTAGCTCCACTCAAGGGATGTATGCAGGAAATATTAAACCGATCAGATAAGTGAGAGGTCAACAAGTAATCAGGACCAGATGGCATTCATATGAGTATCCAGAAGGATCTCAAATGTGAGACTGCCGGCCAAGGCACATAACCCAACATTACAATCAGATGCTGTGCCAGGGGACTGATGCATCACCAGTACAGCTCTTGTCTACAAGAAGGGCTTGAGACTCAAGGGCAGCTCGAGTGGCATGAGTCAGTCATCTGGTTGGTGGGAGTTACAACTGCTGACACTCATTTCCACTTCTGGTATGTTGTGGGAGGTCTGTAATGAAGAACGAAGATGCTGAGCTTGTTGGAACACCAGCCTGCTGAGAACAAGTCAGCATGTCTTCTGAAAAGGGAGATCCTGTCTCACCGGCTGAAGGGCTGTGAGGGTGATGGATGAAGGGGGCCCAGTGGTCATGTTATATGGATATGTGGGTATGTAGGCATTTATACAGTTGCATTTGTCAAAGCTCTGCACCAAGGGTTTCTTAAGGAACTAAGTTACCAGAGAGCCAGAATGCATGCTCTACTGTGGGCTGAAAACTGGCTGAAGCGTGAGAAACAAAATGTGGGACTTAGTGAATCAGCAATAGGGTCCTCTAGGGTTTGGTATTTGGCCCAGATTTATTTGATATCTTTATCAATAACCTGGAGAAGGTAGTTATCCAAGTTGATAGACATGCTGAAAGGATGGCAGGGGAGCTTTAGTGTCTTTTAATGTAAGGTGATGCACGATGGCAAAATAATCTAAACCCTGCCTACATGACATGAACTTGAAACTGGCTGTTGCATTCAGGAAAGGGCATTTGGCCTTGGCACCACTGACCATTTACTGAAGTAATTTCTGCATTGGCTGCAGCATCAGAAGCAACAAAAATGTCAGCAAAATGAGGGGCATCGTCAAGAAGGCTATGGAGAACAAATCTTGTATAAAACATCCATGCATCACCATAGTGAGCAGTTCTGGGCTCAACATCCAAAAAAGAGATTATGGAATTAGAGAAGGTGCAGAGAGAGGCAAGTGAAATGATCAAGGAGACAGAGCAAGGAACTAAAAAGCCTGGGAGTCTTTTTGGTACGGAAAGGTGGAGGCCGAAGAAGGATGTGGTTTACAGTTTACAGAATCATGAAGGTGGTGGGTAGCATGTGAATGCACATTGTTATTTATAGGGTCCCGCAGTACTGGGACTCGGGGTGCTCAGCAAAGTTGTTGGGAATCTGCTTTTAAACAGATAAAAGAAGGTGAGTGAGGGCAGACAGCATCAGCGGGGTCAAAACAGGATCGGACAAACGCAAGGACAATAAATGGGAAACAAAAGACTGGGCAGGGATGTACTCCCTGGTGCCCATGGACAGCAGTCAGCAAGCTGGGGAAATGCAAAGGGAAAGCACTCTGGAAGGTGATCAGGAAGATGATCAGGCTCTCATGTTGACTCTAATCCAGCCTCTCCTATTGCCACCATCAGAGATTGAATACTGGGCTAGATGGACATTGGTCTGAGCTGCCAGCACATTTCTTAGAGTCACAATTTGCTCCCGGCTCCTGGCAGTGTAACAACCACAGCTGGCTTCACTGTGTTACCCCTAATTCCTGCTGGTGAAGTGGGACCAATGCCTGTAGTGATATTAATATAGAGATTTCACCCTCTATGGCAAAAACTGTTCCTGGGAAAGCGGGAATAGTCAAGTAGCCCTTGGGCTACCCCCAGCTCTAGTGGAGGGCTAAACCAAGAGCAGGCAATCAAGTCACCCAGCGTGGGGTTGATTACTATGCCATGCTTGGACAGAAGGACATGGTCTTTTTGGAGAGGTGTGGTGGAGAGGTGCTGCTGCTAAAGGGGTGAATACAAAATCTCTACTGTCTCTAAAGATGTAAACATGAAACTCTCCATCTCCAAACTGCTGATCTCGGATTTGCTGCTCTGAAACACTCTGTTCACTATAACGTGAGGAACTATCAAGGAACCTATTTTTAAGAATGTGTCTGCATATACAAAGTTAAATAGGGAAATCAGGCTGTTCATTCAAAATATAGTTCTTTGCGATATTATGTGATAAATATATAGATCCTCTTGCAGGTCAGGAAAAAGACATGGTCTCTGCAGCTATCACAATAACCCTTTGTTTGAAGAGGACCCCAGACACCACAGTCTCATGTTCATTACCCGGATAGGAAGGCAGTTATGGTATCGCTGTTATGTAGGAGATTATTTGCATTTGCCACTGCACTTCTGAGAAAAACAGAAGTTCTCTTTTTTTTTTTTTTGAAGTTCCCATTGGCTTTCCTTTTAGCATTCACTTTGTGCTTCAGAAGCAGCATTACCAACAGTAAATGTAGCAGAATGTAATATTAAGAATTAACACTAAATTCATCGAAGTATGGCATTTTATTAACCTTGCTACATGCACAATAATTTTTTAAAAAATCAAGTCTGATGTTTAACAACTTTTATTTTAAAAGTTTTTCATAAACCAAATATGTATTTTTTATCTAGTTAAAAAAATACAGTCACTTAATCAGATCCACAACTTGATTGTTTTCTTCCACCTAGCACACATTCCTACTTATGTAAATTCACCCTTTTTTTCTGCCAAAAAATTTCTCAAGACCGGCTTTGTCATATAGAAGTTTAGTCAATGATCACAGCTTCTGGCAAATAAAAAGCTCACAGTGGGTAATAAGAAATGTAAGTAGGTAGTATTTTAATTCTTGCAACCATTTTTATCTACATCAGAAAAAGCAGAAAAATCTTGTCCTACCTCAGCCCGTGTGCTTTCTGGTGGGTTCAGTATTTCCTCCTTCTGCTTGCTGTTGCTCACAACTTTCAGTTTGTTAGCACAAACGAGAAACAGAAAAACTTGACAGAAAAGCCAAGTGCTATTTTTGCAGAAGCCACAGAAAAGCAATGAGTAGTAGGAAAGGGAAGTAAATCCTGGTTAAAAGACCTTACATCTTCTTAAAAGAGAAATGTTCTCAGCTCAAGGAGTGGTGCTAAGAATCACATGGCAATCTTTCAAAATTTTCACCCAATGAAAGAGGCTCTACAGCTACGTGGTATGTTGGGAAGCTTTCTGGATTTCTGTATTTGGGTCCACAATTCTATATATGTGCTTTCAATAATCAGAGTTGTTCAAAACATTAAAGGAAATTCCCATATAAGCTTCACACAGATTGTTAGAGATACAGTTCTTGGAATTATGGAGAGGACATGCTGGGGTTATTTCCCAGGCTTTTCATGCAGAAATCACAGGAAGAACAAAACTGTGAGCAAGCTGCTAAGAATGGATGTTTAATCTTATTCAGCTCGCAGTTCAAGGCTGAGTTTACAGAGCTGAGGGACTAACTTTCCTTCACTTTTGATAGGAATGGAACACACAGTTCTGCTAAGACATGAGCAAGCAGCTGCAATGAATGCCTTACCACCCCTTAACCTTCTAACACTTCTCGGTGGAGCAATGCTGACAGCACAGATAGGTATCTACACATGCTATAGGTATAAGAGCTTGACTATTCCTCTTCTGTGCTGTCAGCTTATGCAGGCGGAACAGATGCATTCAAGTGCTTTCTGGCCGCTGTGTTGTATTTCGTATCGGCAGCTGGTTAGGAGACCACACATGGCCGCTTACGACAGCTCAGCAGATGGGGAATCTCCCAAAAAAACCTTCTTACTGCTCACCTCTATACTTGTCCGAAGTGCTTTGGATAATTGTATTTGTATTCTCTCCTCCATTGGCCACCCGTGCCTGATTCTCACTTATCACAAGGGCTCTTCACTCTGGTTTTACTCATGGACTTGAGAAAGGGCAAAATAGTCCTCTGGGCATGCTCCCCATGCAGATTCTTGGTAGCAGCATGCAGTGGCTGTGAAGACTGGTGTCACCAGAGCTCACGAATCGCTATGAACAGGGAGGAGGTATGTACAGCTTGCAAGCAGCTCTGTGAGTTGTGTTTTTTCAGCATGGGGCTAAAAAAGGACACGGAAAAACAGCTTAAGTAGTAACTAGTCTAACAACTTCAGTTTCCAGGCTGAGCGCAAAATCCATGAGTGGTGTTTTTGAACATTTGCCTGCATTCACATTGACAATAAAAAATAAGCTTTAAAAGCTCCCAGACAGAGATCCACGTTAAGCGAATTTTCAAGGTGCAGCATGACAATGAATTAAGACCTTTCTGAGACCACTCCACTGGTTTTTAACTTAGACACTGCCAACTCTCGTGACACCTAAGGTCATGGATAGGTGTCCTTTTCCAGTTGTGGTTGTGCTGGCTGCTTTGGTTGCTGTCCCAGCAGTTTTTCTATCTGCCAAGGTTTGCTGGCAGAGCAGCTCGTGTGTCCATCCCTAACACCTTTTGGTCACTGAGGCATCATAGACACCTGAAACAAGAGGCCTCTGCTCACCCAGCCTATGTGGACTGAAGCAGTGTAGAAATGACCCCACGGGCATCTTGGTGGGCGGATGAACCTTCTGGGAGGAAGCCGTGACATGCAGCAGGGAGCAGCATGGGTTGTGACTGCTTCAACTAGTGAGGCCGCAGCCAGAGGACAGCTATGGCCTTGGCATTCGCTCAGGAGATGTCCCAGTAACTGGGACTGCATCTTATCTGCAACTGGCAGAGACTAATTTAGGCATTGCAGTAGCAGCCTGATGACATCTCTGTCACATGGCACGCGGAGATAATCACTTTGGGACTGATAAGCAGGCTGTTCTCAGATACACAAGGTCAGAGACCAAACCATGTGGAAAAGTTAGACATTGATCACATTTTATTTTCTTGAATGTGTTTTGAGAACTTCTCATTCACCATATGATAGGGCTATCTTTATTGCCTGGATAATTTCTCACATTCACCTTCTTAAACACCTCACTTTCTGGAGAGTACTGTTTCCTCCATTTTATAAAGTAATTCTGTATTTTGCTTTTAGCCTGGCTTTGAATAAATGGGGTTGGCTGCCAACTCACCCTGCACCTGATGAGCTAGATCCGGAGTGACTGCTTGGGATTTTTTAGAAACAGTCACTGGATGACTCAGCTTCTGAGAGAAGTTTATTACATTTCTTACTAATAAAAACCTCAGTAATTCTGAAGAAGACATCTCAGAATATGAAGAAGGATCAAAGACTTTCATCACAAGATGCTGTGCGCATATCACACAATCAAAAGTTAACAGTCTAGGTTGTTTCTGAATTTTGAGCCCCATTAAATGCATAGATGGTCCAGGACTTGGCAGACTGCAAATCACCCCTCTGGGCTGCAGCTACTCTCCATCTTGCTTCCATTTCTGTTCCCTTTTGTATTTCTGGCTCCATGACAGCCCAGTTTGAAGACAGAAAAGCAGGCGGACTCATCCTTTTCCTTCCCCTTCCTCACAAAACCCACCTCCCCTCCAGCCTTGCACAGGGGCATTGCCTACAGAGGAGGTCTCCAGCCCATGATGGCGAGCAAAGCCACTGCTGCAGGCTCCAGGTCTCTGTTGCATGAAGAAGCTGAACTTTGGAGCTGAAATAAGCACTGCAGACCAGATAGAAGCAGAAATTTAGATTCTCCTTCCCCTGTGCAGCATTCCCTACAGGCTAGTTCAACTGTTCTCATGGGCTGAGCGCTACCTGGTGGGAGCACCAGTCAAGGACCCTGTCTCCCACACTCCCTGCATAGGGCACCTTGGACACCCCAAACACATATCATGCTGTATGGTGTCACCCTAAAGTTAGATGGGCTTCTGCCTGAGGATGGTCCATTGTCTGGTGCGTCCCTCTGTCATTGCGGTCTCACCAGGCAGGCTGTTGTCTGCTTCAAACCATAGCAGAGGGGGTCAAGAGCTGCTGGAAGCCCACCCAGGTCTTGATGCACATGCACAACCCAACAGACCTGTGCAAGCTCATCAGCTCCTGGAGCATGGATGCATTTGCACATCAGCTCAGGTAGCTTGGCAGCCCTGCAGCCACGGGCACTGTGCAGGGAGACATGGCAATCTCCAGCACCGGGGAGCTGGAGTGAGACATCAGGCATCCCAGGCAACACACATGAAAGAGTCTGCATATTTTTCCAGTTGCTCAGTCAATATTTTACTCTCTGCAGGCATGAACTTCCAGTGGCAGAGATTTGCTTTTTCACGCCAAGAGATTTTTGGTAAAAATGGATCTGTCAAACAAGGAGAAGGGATTACCTCCATTGAAGAATTTAGCGCTGCATGTCTTCAACATGGCAGCTTAGCCTACTAACACATATCTCTTTCCAGAGACTGAAATTACAAAGCCTGCATTCATTTTCTGTGCAATCCAGAAAAAAACAGCATCCAATGTTAGCAGCTCATTTGCCGCCAGCCATAAGGCTGGATAGAGGGGAAGATGAAAGTCACGGCTGCATGAAGAAGGGGGAAGAAGCAGGGACAATTTTAAGAGGAATTATTCAGAAAGAAAAAGCACAGAAGGTTTTCAAGCTGTTTCTTTTGCAACACTCATAATAACATCTTTTTTAATTGCCTGTGGTCCTTTCTTAATTGTTTGCTGTTCCTCATTAATATACAGTTGAGGGCCAAGGAACATTAATATATAGATGGAACGAGAAAAGACATCTAATGTTGTCTCTATGTAAGATAAACTGTTCTTTTCTAAGTACTGAAATTGGAAATGTTTTTTGCCACCTCATCCAAAGTTGGATGTGGGCTTTGGGAAGAACTGATTGTCTCCAAAAGCCGTGAAGCTGATGGCAGCTGGGAGCATTAGTGCTCTTCCCAGAGAATAGTCGATTCAGCCCTCAACTCTGAAAAGACGGAACCAGAGCAGGACAAAGCACCAAACGCTTTCACAGGTCTTCATCTAAGGCCCATTGAAGTCATTGGAAAGAATAGTGCCTTTTTGGATTAAAACCTAAATAAGACAGCCTCGAAAACTCCGAGTGGAAAAAACTTCCTTTTATTCCTCTTCAAGTAGCTAAAAGTATTTCAGATCTAACAGGTGCAAGGTTGTCACCGTGCCAAGTATAGTCTATCTTCTCTACTTCTACAGTCACTTCTCTACATACTAACCACCATGATGCTGAAGTGACTTTCTGCTTGCGTTATGCATTTTGAGTAATTGCACAGTCTGCAATTGCAGCCCCTATTATTTCTGGTTAGTGTGTTAGACATTACGGGATTGCAAACTGATGTGATAATGGAAGAATTTGGCAACAAGTCTAGTTATGTCTATCTTAAGATTTTGTCTCCTAAAGACTTGTCATTTGTGTATGTTGGCACACGAATGCAGTTCTGCAGTTCCCAATGCACACAGCTCTGTGGTTTGCTCTGTGTTTACCCCGTATTAAGCGCTCTGCGAAACCTGTGTTCTGCTGAACTCTCACTTCGTACAAGTATAGACACTTGAAGTAAAACAAGCTTCCTTTCTTCCCTTTTTTGCTGACTCTTTTTCAATAACCCTGACCCAACAACAACATTCTAAAATCAGATAGACCAGATGTAGGTGCTCCACATCTTGGCTAAACAATGGCTAAACACCACTGTAAGGTACAAACTGTAAGTCCTTCAGCCTAAACTCCAACTACCACCAAATCCACCTTCATATCAAGATAATCATTGCTAGTTCTTAGCAAAACATTATCACAGACAACGCTGTGCTTCACTGCAGCTGTGTTCGCTAACCACAGCATCTTCAGGCAATGATCTTTCTTTACTGTAGTCCCTTTGCCTTTTTATCCAATGCATTTCCAGTGCTATTTCAGGGTCTCTCTGTAGGAGGGTGTTTATATGCGTGCACTCACAGAAGTGCACTCAGATGTGAGCACTTACAGAGAACCCATTTGTGTGCATGTGTATTTGTACAATAAATGCACACGTACATACACATGCTCAATAAAAAGGTTAAATTTGAGCATCAAGACTAAATTGTGTTGGCCAGAATTTAGAGAGCCACGGGAATAAGTGTGGGATGCAAGTTCC